CGACAATGCCGGAGCCATGATGAGTGTGGACGAGAGCTTGCTCTGCTCGTTCCAGGTGAGAAGACGGCGATGGAAATTCTACTGTGCCGGCCAAGTCAACTGACGAGACTCTCCTACAGATTCTGAAACCTGCTGAGAAGAAACAAAAGTACGTCCCTGGTGGTCTCGGAGGCAACAGCCGACCAGTCATCTCTCCCCGGAAGTCCGCTTCCAAGTGAAATCAAGAGTTTATACGAACATGCACATCTTTTTAGGTTCGGCCGTCGTTAAATGCCTCCCGTCCATATCGACCGCTCTACTTTTACGTCCACCGACGCGGGTCTCTCGCGACCCCTTCACACCGTCCTCCCGCCTTCTCGATCCTCTGAGTCACCATCCGTCCACTCTTCGACTTGTCCGATTCTTCCCGAGCCCACCCACCGACTACAACCCGCGCAAACTGTTCACGATTACGGCTGTCTGGTAGCAGAAGATAAACACACAAAAACACTGGAATTTGCAATGGCTATCACAACGTTTCACGTGCCTCTGTGCGAAGCCCCTCGGTGGACATGAACTCACCCAGGGGTGTAATAATGAGTGATTTGCACGCCAATAACGCGCCAAGAGCAGCCTCGATTTACTGTTCCATCGTGGGAATACTTGTCCCCTCCCCCAGCCGCCACTGCCACAAAGGCTTGTCCAAAAGTCATTGTGCTGAGGCGCCAATTGGCAATATCCACCGTGGTCACGGGGATCATATGAACTTGAACATCCGCTATTGTGCCCTCGAGCTTGCGTCGCGGCCGTAGGGGGCCGTGTCTCAGCTCAATGTCGTGGTGGCACTTGTAAGACTATAATCTACTCGGCATAGACAGAAGCAAGCCCGTCGCGGGGTTGGTATTCTGGTTTCTCAAAGGAGGCATTGCTCATCGGCCGGGCAACGGGGGGGTTGGGTGTCGCTTTTCACTTCTTTTTCTGCTTGTACTATTCTCCATTGACTCTGGTCTTTTTTTTTTCCGTCTTTTCTTGTAACGCTGGAGGAGAAGGGGCGTATGGTCGGCAGAGGTCTGTTGCTGAGACATGTGTTCAGGGGATCGCTGCACAGATCACTGTGTGTACGATCTTGGAATGATGGGGTCTAACAATCCGGCTCCGAATTGATGGTTTCTGTGAACAGTTCGCTCTAGGCATTCCTGTGGGGTTGACCCGGCGTGGTCAGGTTCACGTCGAGTTCTGTCGCAAAGGAGGATGCTGCGGCTAGTAATTGCAATGAAAAAAGCCAACCTTTATACGTTTGATCAACCTGACCGGATTTTCGGATGCGGAAGTAACGTGCTCATTGTGTATATTGTCTGTGTTTACTGAAGATTGTATGCTCCCGCTGACGGAGAAGAGAGTTCTTGAAATCATGCATTGCATGTTTTGTGTTATCTAGTTAAACGCTACATGCCCACGCGTGCCACCTAGATACCGCGTAGACGTTCCCGTCCGTGCCGATCCCCAGGTCCGAATCACTAGTAATCCCGGTTCGCATTCCAAAGCCCTTGCTTACCGCCCCCAACTTCCCCGGCCACTGGGCAACAGAAGTTGAGAGACATATTGAAATACCTAGGGGTAGCAGTTGAGGCGAACATTGCGAGCTTGGGATCCCGTGGCCATGGTGCTACCTACGGCTAGCCCCGCGCTCCGGTCCCCCGCGCCAGGCCTAGCAAGGCTGGCTACACCAGAGTAGAGCAGGGCAGGGCTGAATACATTGGCCTACTAGACCAGATCAGGTGCCGATTGTATCTATAGGGACCCGGGTTTCTCATGCACAGTCCTCGCACTTCTCCTTGTTGAACTTGGCCGGCGGATCGTCATATTGCTGGCCAGGCAGCTGGCCTGCGGGCGAGATCTCGGCCTTGGCCTGCTGTCCCTTGTTCGCGCGAGCTGCGCCGATGGCGTCTCGGGCTGCGTCGCTTAGAGAAGAGGATTCATTGTGTTCTTTGCTCTCGGAGGTGGGCTTCGTTTCGCTGCCGGCTGGGGAGTGGCCTGCGTTGGCGGGGTGCTTCTTGAGCTGGGAGACCACGTCCGAGGCGGCTGCGGAGGAAGGCATCGTCATTGTCGGCGCCGCGGCGAGTGCGTCGGAGGCCAGGGTCGGTGGTTGTTGGGTAGAGGTTTCGGGTGTGATTGCTGTTGCTGTCGTTGAAGTCTGATCCGTCGTCGCGTGTTTACGGTCGACGTGGCCGAGGTCTCTGTCGGGCTGGATGACGTCGCGGAGACGGCGCTTGAGCTCCTTGGTCTCGGGGAAGCCTCCTTCGGTCTTGCGGTCCCAGAGGATCGTTGAGGAGGTCGTTGTCGCGCCGTCGGGTTGGTGGGTTAGCGTCACGGTGAAGGTGCCGCCTGTGGAAGGTTGGAGGGCGACCTCGCCGATGGAGGTTCCGAATGTCGATAGGAGCTCTTGGGCGAACTGTTTGTGGTGTAAGAGAGGTGTTTTTTTTTTCCCGACTTGTGTATACCTGGCTTTTGAGTAGGGTAGAAGGGACGGATGATGGGCTTGATTCACGGCGGAAAGGGCAACACTAGGCCAAGCACGAGTTGGAGGGGTTGGAAAAGGAGGTTGAGGGTGTCAGGGATGTTGCCGAGGATGAGGTCATCAACGGCCACCTCCCGTATAGAGGTAGGACCTGTGTAAGTGTATCCTACCTTGCGGCAGATAAAGGTAGGTGTTTACAAATTAGGAAAGGCAGGAAGTAAAGATGGATGGCAAAAGACCCGGCAGTGAGGTCTCCCCCTCCTGCCCTTTGGCTTGTACTTACATATGCTGCGCGAAGCATCCACTTACACTGAGTGCAGAACTGGATCGCGATGCGGGGCAGCGGCGTTGATGTCGACGCTGACTGCGGTTCGGTAGATGTTTCGGCCATTTCGGGATTGTTGCTGTTACCTGGAACGAGGAACAGGAGAGTAGACTACTGTGCAGACCTTTGTGGTCTCCTCGTTGTAGTGATTAGGTAGGCTGCGCGAGGAGAGAATGGGATGGTGAGGGAAATGGCGTTCTATTCTCTTGTTCTTCCTGCGTCATTGGCGGCCAGCCAGTACTTTTTCGGATTGGGGAAGAGGGGGGAGGAGGAGGGGCGGTTGGTGCCATCCCAGCTTTCCTCTGATGATCAGGTAAGCGTGCAGGAAGCTGTGGCCATGCCGGCGCTGGTTCCATTGAGACTGGGAGGAGTGGAAATGGAAAAGCCACACTTGCTGGCTTACGAAACAAAAAAGGACCCGGCGGAAGTGTGCACGGGGAGATGGAGTGGAGGGACCTACGGAGTATTGTAAGAAACTGTTCGGATCCGAACTCGCACTCGGAAGGACGGTGATGCACCAGCCAGCCGGCAAGAGCCTTGCTCTCAGCCGTGACCATCTGGCGGCACATCCCATTGAGCAACGAAAAGAGAAAAGCCAGGCACACGCCAGAAAAGAGAGAATAACGGGCCCGCATATGAACTTCCCTCCCAGGACATTCCCCCCCCAGAACCCAGCACGTCGGTGGCAGCCAGTGGCTCGAACGCCCTGCAGCAATTCAGGTACGGGTGGGCCAGCACCAGGGATCAGGGCCGGCAGGGCTTTTCTTCGGACTTGTCCTGTGCTGCAAAATAGCAACACCAGACGGGGAGTGAGTCGTGCGGAAACAGTGTCTGTTGTTTTGGGACGCGTTTGCGCGCCGGGCCCTTTCTCGACTGACGACGTTGGGAAAAGCCGGTCCTGAGTCGACTCCGAGGTAGAATAGGCAAGGTAAGGTACGGATACGTGTGCATAAAGTGCGCACACGTAACTCCGGGGCCGGGAAGACTTTTGGAAACACGTGTGTGCCCGTGGGACCCGTGGAAAGTGGTTTCCGGAATTTCCTGACCGTGAGGTGAGGTATCTTACCTTGCTGCATAGTGATACAGCCAGCGCCTGCAAAAGCCCCAACGTCTGCAGAACACTGGCGGTGGGCACATCGCCTTGATCTTGGGGGTTTTGCTAGGAGGAGAGGACGGTTATCACCCACCTCGGGTACAGCAGCAACCTCGGGATAGGGGCGTAGTAACAGGGGGTGCTGGAGTACGGAGCCCCGTCCGGCAACGAACACCACAAGGCAAAGATACCTTGGACCAGAATTGAAAGGAAAGATTTGTGGTGTTGCAGCGGCGATGGCGGGAGGGAGAAAGGGGAAAGGAGAGCAGTAGAAGTAGTAGTAGCCATCATTCAGTATCTGGACACAGTGAAACACCGTATGAAGCAAACCAGAACGTTGAACCTCATCTAACCAGCGTTTTATCGAGCGCCGTACGCAGTACAGGCTACGGATACAACGACTCCAATTGGCAATGGCGGCTCACCGACGGTCCAAAGAGAAAACCACAGGTCCCACCACTACTGTACTCATTCTTAACCCCCCCCCTCCCCCCGGTAGCCGAAGACTCGAAGCGAAGGGGAAAAAAGATGAGTTGACAGGCGGACCAGGCCCGATGTAATCCTCGGGAAATGAAAGCTGGAGCTCTTGTAGCTCTTTTCGGCCTCGAACAGGCGGAGTGCGGTAACCTCCCCCCCATCGGCATCCAATGATCCAATCCCAGGATTTCGAAAGTCGGCGCCGAACTGTTCATCCCCCAGTCTCGCTCGGCCAGGGCGCAGGGGGTCATGAATCCATAAATCTGGCTTTATTCATAATTTCACAGTGAGAGAATGGAGGTGAGGACAAGAACGAAAGAGAAAAAAAGGGACGCTGCATATGTCTCAGATTTCCTGCTCTCTCACCTGTGACCTGAAGTGGTACCAGCCCAATCGTACCCCCCCAGAAAGACCGCAAGGCGAGGAAGGGGGAGTAAAAAATACCACACGAAAAAGCTTGTCCCCCATTCCCGTTTTTAATCCCTCTTTGCTTTTTCCCCAGAAGTCTGCCTGTCTCTCTAGGTATCCGTAAGGTAAACGGCCCTGATGTGAACTGGTTTGCAATGTCTCTCGTCTTTCCCTACTTCCAGGACCCTGGGTCACCACCCTCACTCCCCCTCTCGCTTGCTTACCAATACGCGATCGGGTTGGCCATCATTTCGAAGATGCGATGCGGAAATCTGGCTCAGGTCACGGGAGTTCCTATTACTTTTGCGTAAGCCTGTAAGGTAGTAAACCATACCTGAAGGTAAGGTCACGCTGCTTCTCAACCTCCCCCCCAAATTGGATTGGCTGCTTCCCCCGGGGTCCCGCCAATGCGGCCATTGGTTGGCCGAAATGACCTGATATGGGACCACCGCAGATGCGAGTGATTTCATGGCTCCACGGGGGGCGCGCGAGATGCAGGCTTGAGGAGGGTTTTGGTGATCTGCCCTCTTGTGAAACCCCCCTTCAGGCTTCAGGTATCCGTAACATGCACACCACTTTTGTTTGATTCATCGTTAATCGAATTGCTGTCCATGATTGCCGCCGTCTATCCGCCTCTTACCTACCCCAGTGATCGATCAACTGCATGGCACCAAGCACCCCCTGACATCAAAGTACGACGCGACCGTAAGCCGTGGTAATTGCTCGAATTGTTATCTTGTTTTTTCGTGGAGACCAGGGAATTTGATGGATTGAAGCTATTCACACACTCGGTGCGGAATATAGTGGACAAGGGGGAGACCCGAGAAGGAAAAAGAGTACAGGACATCAAGAGAATTATTACATGCTGAAGAGCTGCCCGCCAAAAAGCCCTGCCTCCCCAACGACAACCTCCCAATAACAACAGAAAAAGAACAACATAGAAGCATTATCGTAGCGGGGTCCGTTGCCTCTTCAACTCTCAAGCATCTCCCCTCGCTTCCTCTCACCCACCTCCTCCGCTGACGGAGCTTGCTCGCTTCTCCCTTTTTCACTCACTCTCTCAAGTATTACTAACCCGTGTCGCTGTCCGTGGCTTTTCGTTTTGATCCGTCAAAGGGGACAAAGGTATCTGTCGTTTGGCTGGCATTGTAGAACCCCCCTAAACCCTTCCTAACCCAGGAAACTTTTGTTTGCTTTTTCTCTTCGACTCCAAGCTGGTCCAGGGCTTTTTTGGGATCCCGATGATTCCACGACCGCGTAAAAGAATAATCAGCAGGTGTCCTCTGTTTTTCTTTTCCGGTTCTTCGAGAAGAAGCGATCGTTCGCTGTTTACGGAAGGTTGCTGCATTCCCGATGGCCCTCGGGGGTCTTGGTATTCCACGCGTAAAATAGAAAAATGACAGTCCGATCGGAGCATATCGACTGTTCCGATATCAACATCGCTAACCCATAATATACGTTGCTTTACATCACCAAGCAGCATCCGCCGCTTTGTTGTGGTGCGTAGGGGTCTTCGCCGCGGGGGACAGCGCCCCAAACCGATGGAACCATGTAGTCCCTCGTGCTGTTGCAGTAGGCAATGATGCTAGAATGATGTGAGTTAGTCGCTGATTCGCCCGTTCGCGATGGAATCAATGGCTGTTTGTTCGCATTGATTTGCATCGATGATGATGATTGATAATCCGAGACCTACCTCTTAGAAGCATTGCTGACCGGAATCCGTTCCCTTTCGAGATCCTCGCGCAGGCGGTTGTTGAGTTCCGTCAATCGTCTCAGCTTGAGGTCGGCCATCGACTGCTTGTTCTTCTTGATCTGCGACGGGTCGCCGACATCGCGGGAGGTGTATTGAGGCATTGCTGTCGCGGATCGGGGGGCTGGAGACTTTGATGAAGAAGGTGTCGCGGAGGATGAGGCGACGGCGGCGGCGACAGAGGGTTCAGCGGCGGCGGGTTGTCGTCGTGATTGTTTGTCGTCGGAACGAGGCTGTTGGACCTGATCCTGCCGCTGGCGAGAGGTGGGAGAAGTGGCTGTGGTGGCTACAGCAGATGATTCGGCGGTGGTAGGAGAGGTGGTGGTGGTGTTGTGAGAAGAGCGTTCCTGATGAGAGAGCATATCGTGTCAGTTTGATTAAAGTTTCCCTCTTTTGACTCCGCTTTGGCGGTGGTTGCCGCGTTTTCCCACCACCCCGTGGTACGAGCTCAGGATCGGAAGCGGGATGGGGAGGATTTAAATGGCCAGTAGGGGGGCGAAAAAACTCACAGCAGCGAGAACCGCGGGGGAATTGAGAGAGTGATCAAGGCCGGTTTCGATCGAAGCGAATCGACAAAGGAAAGAACGTCGGGGGTGATTGGATTTGGGGGGGAGGATTACGAGTGTTGGAAGAGATGGGTAGGTTGGTTGCTCGGATAATGGGTTGGGATTTGGAAAAGCAAAGGAGAGGACGGGACGGGCGACGGGGAAGGAGGAGGGAGTGAGTGGAAGGAAAGGTAGAGGTAGAGGTAGAGGTAGAGGTAGGTAGGTGCAGGCAAGCCGCAGGTGCAGTTGGGAATTGGGAATTGAGTAGGTGAGAGAGAGGACGGGAGGGAAGTCACGTACTGCTAGTGTCTGGGAGACGGGCTGGGACTGGGAATTGGGACTGTGGACCAGGACTAGGAAGGCTGGGATTGGATTGGATTGCGGAGCCCTTGGGAAAGATTCCCCTAACGTGAAAGGAAAGGTCAAAGGTCAATGGACGCAAGGTTACCTTCTTGCGCTAGGGCCACCAGGTGCGCCATGGAAGCAACGACCGCCCCGTCCCTGGAGGGTACCGAGCCGCATTGCATCTTTGCTGTACGGAGTACCGCGCGCGGATTTTTATGGAGCGAACCGAAGCGAGAGTATTTGCCAGCTGCTGCCAGACCATCACAAGTTTACATCCTGGGGTCTACTGCACAGTACCTGTGTGTGCTTGTGTGCATGTTTGTGCATTTGTGCAGGCTGCATGCTGCACTGCTGCAGGTCAAGTGCGTTTGCGTTGCTGTTGGCAGCACCCTCCCCTGGGTGGAGTGTGGTACCTGACAGTGTGTTCCAAGCGGTTAAAGGTACATCCACTTTCTTCTCCTTAGTCATCATTGTGGCTTTTGGATTGGACAGCGGACGGGTCGGCAAGGGTGATGACTGGACCCGGCGCCGGCGGGGGTGTTCGCTGAGGTTCCAGTCGCCTCACAAGAAATACTGAGATTGTACGTACGTACTTGTAGAGAAGCGACTTGGCGCACGGACCCCATCTGTTGTAGACCAGCATTGGTGGGATTGGTTGGAAATTGGCCGGAGCGGGCAATCTCCCATATTTGGGTTTCCCCTAGTTGGCCGGTACCCCGATTGCGCCCAAAGAACACGGATACAGTCATGACGATGAGCACGAGACGCGACACCACGACCGTACAGAGTACTCCAAGTCGCAGCATGTGGTGTAGGTTGATGACGATGAATGAGCTGCACATCTTGGGCATCAGGTGTGGCGAACCCAACATTTGGCCTTCGTTTTTCTCCCCTTTCTTTTGCGATTCCCGTGCCCAACTGCCATACCAAGACCCGGCATCTCGATCAGACTTTGACTCTGCACTGCCGACTATTACACAGAAGTCTCCCATATATCGTGCGGCACTCTCTAGCCGGCTCGCCTCGATGCCGAAGCCAATAGATGTCGCGAAGTTTTCACGAGGACCGTCGTATGTATGATAGGGTGTCAACGACATTTTTGCTTTTAACATTGAGACGTGCCATGGAACTCTACCTCATGACGTTTTCAGTTGGGCTGACGACCCTTGGCCCTCCGGCCAGACAAAGAACGGAGAGCTGCCGAGGGGCTAGCTGAAAGAACACGCTCATGAGAGATGCCCACGGCGCCATGCTCTATATCGGGAATATTCATAATAGATGTACCGATTTATATCGGTCCTTTTCTCGTCTTGTCCAACGCGAATTCTTTGCCAGCTTACCCGAAGTGACGACACGCTTATACTTACGCAGAAGATACTCGTAACTTACAAGCCTGTCCGAGGAAGTTATCCATACTGCTGCCCTACCCGTTCACGAATGTATAATTATGCACATGTCCCCTGTGCCTGCAAGTTGGAAGTGAGGAGATTCGATTCAAGATTGGTGATTCTCGATCTTCCCGCTCTGCCGAAAAAAAGTGTGTGAAGTCGCCATCTACCTCGGTCTCGGTGGAGCACAACGGGAGCATGCCCCCGTCCGTATCCGGGATTAAAGAAAGTTCGGGGAGGCTTTTGACTAGAAACCGACAAGGCTGGCAAATAAGTCTGAAAATCACGGTTGGGACCTATCAAGTGAAGTGACGGGAAGGAAGGTTTCGAAGAGACTTGGTGCAACGGAAAGCGCAATGTTCACTCGAATTGGACATCATCTCAACAGTGGAATCGGCGACTTCGTTCCCGTGACGGAATTGAGCCATGGGACAACAAATGACATCGGAGGTACCTCAGTCCTAGCCTGCCCAATAATTTGGGACGGGACGACAGAAGTGAACTGAGGGACGGGAAGGTGCAGCAAACCTTCAGTGGTAAATCAGTCAGCCTCGGCTGACATAATCTCTCATCACGTGATATCCGTTTCGCACAACGCACGGACGTTCGGAGCCCCTCAGGACTCGCATAGCGGCCACACACGAAATTGAAAAATTCGTCTTTGCTGTGTATAGCATCAACGCCAACGCACCGAGCGACAGCCAAGTCAATATCTCGCTCGCACGAAAAGGCTTGCGCTGCAACTCCTCAAACCAAGGACCCTCTCGAGAATAGTATTTTCCCGCAGAGGAGGTTGCCCATCATGGTGAGTTCCTCTGTTCGCTTTCTCAACCTCTGGGCCCGCCTGCCCAAAAATTTCCCACATGGATTTGACGCTACCCCTCTCCGACTTTGCTATCACGGGGCGTCATCTTGCTTGCTGCTGTTGTCGAACTGAAGTACTGACAAGAAGCCATAGCCTCCTCCACCTCACCAGAAGCCGGAGAACGTCCTCAAGCGTGCTCACGAGCTCATCGGCGTCAACCAAGTCCCGGCCGCCCTCACCCTCCTCCACGAGCACATCACCTCGAAGAGAAGCCGAAATGTTCCCATCGCGTCGCTGGAGCCGGTGATGCTCCTGTTGGTGGAGCTCTCCGTCGAACAGAAGAAGGGAAAGCTGGCCAAGGATGCCCTTTACCAGTACAAGAACATCAGCCAGAACACCAACATCGGCACCATCGAGGTAAGCCATCTCGCCGCCGCGGAAATGGGTTAGGGCAACCGTTGCTAACAGGGATATGCGCAGCTGGTTCTCAAGAAGTTCATCGAGCTCGCCGCCGAGAAAGTCACCGTTGCCCAGGCCAAGGCCGATGAGGTCCAGTCCAGCATCGAGGCCAACACCTCCACCACCAACGTCGACGACTTGGAGGCTAGCGAAACACCCGAGTCCATTCTCCTTGCCA